CGGTCCATTCATTCAGGCCACGTGTTCGCCACAGCAGCTACATGGTCCGGAGGAATACGCTGGGCAGCCCAGATTGCCTGCTGCTCGACCCCAGTCATAGTTTGCATGAGCAGTTGCATCACGCTGTCACTCGAGAGAACAACTACGCAGGTCGGACTGGGAGTCGTCGCCTAGCCGACCCTGCCGCTGCAGCCGATGAATACTTGCTTTGGCACCACTCTCTCCAACCATATGCTAGCGTGGCTACGCTGGAGTTTGATCGGCCAGTCATGACATTGAAAATCCAAACGTCACCAGGCTCTGCATCGGCCAGGACAAGCCTCGACTGAAGCCAGCTGGCTGGCTTCTCGAGATTTAGAAATCGACGAATGTTAGGGCGAAGTTGTCACACTCCGATCATACTACGGAAGCGTGACTATCGACAGGAGTGAGGTAATGCTGACCTTGCAAGAGGCCGCAGCATTTTTGCAATACCCAGACTGCTACTGCCACTATTGCTGCTGCTGTTTGCTACCACCACCACCACCACCACAACAACAACAACAACAACAGCAGCAGCAACAACAACAACAACGACAGCAGCAAGCAACAGCAACGGCAACGGCAGAAGCGGCACCAGCAAACACAACAACAACAACAGCAGCAGCACCACCAGCACCAACGCACCAACAGCAGCAGCAAGTCTAAGAGGTACTGCTACCACTATCGCCACTGCTGCTGATGCTAGTTATACTACTACTACTACTACTACTACTACTGCTACTACTACTACTACTACTACTACTACTACCACTGCTACTACTACTACTACTACTACTACTGCTACTGCTACTGCTGCTACTACACCTTTTCCTCCTCCCCTGCTGCGACTGCTCATTGCTTCTTATCCTTCTTTGTCTTCGTCTGCGTTACTGCTACTACTCGAGCGATGACTGCTGCCACGAACTTAACTACCGCAACGAAGACTGCAAAGGCGACGACTGCCCGTGCCAGATGCACAGCACCGTTACGACCATCGCCATCAAAACGGTTGGCACTCCCGACTACGACGACCGCGGCTGCGGGTGCTAGTGCTGCGACGACTAACCAGTCGTCAAGTTGGTATCAAGACGGGACTTCAGCTACAAGCGGCTCTTATGTATCTCATCGAGCTTTTTGCATCAGGACTTATGAAACCGCCTGAATGTTTGAGCAACTTATCAAGCTGAACTGCAAAACCCTTGCCACTGAGGTGCGACTCGGAGCCGTCAGAGTAGTCGGGATTGGAGGGGTCACCGACATCGTCGCCTGAGTACATGACACGATCCGAGTTCAGATCTTGCAAGCTTTTGCCGGCCATGCGAATCTCTTCCCGCACAACCCGTGGCGCCCAGAGAAGATCAAGGAACCCAACCTCATCTTGCAGGTTCACTGTCTTCTGCCTCTGAGTGGCTGTAGAATCCATAAGTCTCGGCCATGTAGCCCATAGTCTCCACCTCATGGTCACGGCATTTGAGGACCATTGGGCTGTCACTTTCGCTGCACAAGCTTGAACCCGCCCTCTGTGCTGCAGTGCCAAATGGCTTCACTTCATGCGAGAGTCGACAACTATCAGAAAAGGTCCATAAGACTATAAGACTCAGGTAAAGCACTGGTCAGTCTGGGGCCCCTCAATGATGGACAGTTCCTCCGCCCCTGTTAGATTACTTATCATGGAAAGTAAATCCTCTTGGAAGCACTGCTATTGCTGTTCCCAACTGTTTTAGCACTCGCACTCGGCAATGCAGGCGAGGTTTGGGAGTGTATGACAGAGGCACTGTTACTACTTACCACTATGCGGAGTACGTTTGGGAGGGCTTTCTTTGGGGCGGGGCGACCCCATACCAATCAACATTCAACATTACCCAGAAACATCCAGAACCCAAGCAATGTGTATTAATGAAACTCCAAACCCGATACTGGCCACGAGGCTGCACACCGAGACGTTTTGCATCGCTCCAGGGCGATCTTCGTTAGCTCCTCACGACTGTTGCTGCTGGTACCACTGGCTTTGGGCATCTCGGGGATCACCCAACTCCAACAACGCGTATGTCCTCTTTTTTGGGGGGGGCTCTGAATCCGCCTAGTACAAGACATGACATGCTGCATGAACTTTGCAGCTCCTCGATGCCGAAGAGGCAGTTGCCTGCTGCAAATTTTTTCGGGTAGGAAGGCAGGACTCTTCGGCGAAGGAAGAGCAAAACAAGGGGTTCTTCTACGCCGGCCATGCAACTGGAGCTCTTCGGCCGTTGTTTCCCACTTGTCAGTTCGCACCACGTCTGGCCTTGTGGTTTGCTTACAGGCCAACCAACGGTTCGGGCGGAGCTGGTGCTCTCCTCAGAACGAAGGTCAGGCTGTACTGCGAAACTCGTGACAATCCAAGTCCACCTGCAATCTACTGCTGAAATTATCCTGAACCATCGGCTGCACCGAAATGTCTGCTGCATGCGGCACGCTCCAGTGACCTGTTGATCCAGGTCTCTCCGATTGAAAGGCCCCATTCATTTTGCACACCGTAGTCTGTGTCCCAGTACGCCCAAGTTTCCTTGGCTGCAAGCCTCTCCTGAACCAAGTGAACTGTACATGCTGGAAGTGCAGCAAATCGGGCAGGGCCTGACACAAAGCTCGTCACCATCATCCACTGATGTTGATGTTACAGCCAACTGAAGCTGCGAAAGCACACAACACTCAACTCAACACTCAAACACGAGATGAATTCCTGTCGAGACACTGGAACCTGCGGAACAAATCCCAAAGGATGAGTGTCCTGCATGCTCTGCGTGTGCGAATCAAAGGTATGTAAGCAGCAGGAGATTTGGCCACCAGCTTTTTGACCAAAGCCGTGGGGGTCGGTCTCCTTCTGATCCCCAACAGCTGCGTACTCTGGAGATCGCTCCTGATGTGTTCTGGATTGGGCGTGGGACAGGACTCGAACTGCGCCGTGGCACAACGATATGATCGCTCGCCGGGACCTTGAGCAGCCCCTTCCACCCGCCACCCCCACGGTCGCCCCTTCCCTCCCCTTCCTCTCCCGACCCCGATTGACTTCGGCGAAGAAAACGCAGGGCCTAGTCTCCCACCAAGCTGCTCATGCATGTCTCACGCACAGCCTGCACCGAAGTAGCTCTTGGTTGAGCCAATGCGCGATCAAATGCATGCATGCCGATCTGCCCACTCAACAAAATGTGACACCCCCGTCGCAGAACATGCAAGAAAGAGAAAAACTTTAGGGTTTCGGCGTTCGCTCTCAGACATCCCTAGAGGTTTTCCCCCCTACTGTCTTAGAGTCTTGGTTGAACAGTTGAAAGCAGCTAAGATTTCATAGCCAATTTGATCTACTCCGATGTGGAGTTGCTTGATGACTCAACTCAGAATAGCCCCACATAGTCAGGACTGCATCAAGCTTCATCATCCAACATTGCAAGGGCCTCCCACGTCAAACTTCCCTCCCCGTCGTTGTCCTCGTGTTCTCATTACGAGCATCAGTTGAGAAATACACTGGCCAACTGAACTGTCACATGACAGGACTTGCAAGCATTTCCAGAAATCAGAATTAAGTGCAGCAAAATGCCGGCTTGAATTTCAGAGAGGGATCTGCAAAGAATCCCAGTGTTGACATGTAGGCAGAACCAGTATGCTGTTTGCATAAGCTGAAAAGACCAACCCTAAAGTTTAGGGTTTATAGGGTTTAAAACCCCTAAACCTCAGCCCTATTCAACCCGAACCGTAAACGAAAACTCATGAACCGAGAAATCCCGGGAACGCCAAACATAAATGCACCCACGAAAACAAGAACTGGAGATCAAGCCCTGCATCGCACGACGATCCAAACCTAGAAGAGCTTCGTAAAGGCAGTTGGGTGACCCTTGCATGCTGAAATCTTGGCATCATGCAGACGGGACACCGAGCTCACAAGGCGTGGGTAGCCAATCTCAGTGTCAATTGGTCAAGCTCAATGGTGGAACTGTGCGGAATTTGTGAATGCAAAATCAGAGTGACGAAGAATGAAAGAGTGCGCAATTATGAAATAAATGTCATCCGGCCGACGGCAATACCAGCAAGTGCTGCGGGACCCGGAACTCTACAAGGATTAGCAGCTTTTTTAGGCTACGGGTAACATTAGACTTGAGACTTGCAGCCAAGCTGCTTGCCAAAAGTAAACTGGTCGTTTGCTGCCCTCTGGCCAGCGCTGGCGGGGCACACGAATCAGGCGGATGTCGTTGGTGGAGCTGCCGGCATCATCTGAATGGCCTGTGGACATGCGGCTAAACGCAACGTTCCTGGAGTTGCACCCCGGATAGTATTGAATCCTGCCTATCATAGGTGCCCCTGATGCGCTGGCAGATCGGCCGACGGCGATGATGGTGCAAGCACTGGCCGGCGACACGAGCAGGCCCAGAACAGCCCAGAAGGACTGGATCATTGCAGCCATGGCTGGAAAGAACAAAATATGGATCGAAAAAAGCTTTTCCTCATTTACGACACGCAAGGCATCCGATCAAGAATTCAGCTCGAAGCCTGAAGATGCAGTTACATGTCATGAGCGGTATGTGTCGGCGCAATGCCAGCTTGAGCACATAAACAATGCAGCAAGAAGTCTCTTGCCAGACGGGAGGGTTTTGCAAGAAGGTACGTAGGGCAACGGACATGCGTCAACGATTTCGCATCCTGAACCGTGGGCTTTGTTTCCGGAACCATCTGGAACGTTCTTCGAACGACCAACCGTACGAGGCCTTTGCAAAAAAGCTGCTCAGCTACTCAACTATCGTTGCTTGACTGCTGTGCTCTGTCTGTTCCATGCCAGTCCAGTCGTTAGAAGATTGACAGTGCTGTTTCGCAGTGGGACTCCCAGACGTTTTGCAGCTTTACAGGTTGAAGCAAAACTATCGAGTTCGAGAGTCTTAAGGCAATGCCCATCAATCTACGACGCAATTGGGTCAGTGCCCGCAACTCGAGTCACAGTGATGCTCTGAGAAGCAAGCCATACTGCTCCTCGGCAAAAACAGAGCTTCTCTGCAAGCTTTGCTCTGTTCCACATGCTCCACAAAAGATGCGAGGACGGGCTGCCAAGCGCCACACGCAATAGCTTTGCCATCTCTCGTTCAGTTCTCTGGCACTGCTTTGAAGAGACTTGACCTCCAAAATCTTCCCAGACTCAGACAATGCCGCAACACATGTAGTGCAAGCACTCACCAACCCAAGCCACGACCAGCAATGCACAGTGCTCCAAGCAACTTCTTCATCAGTGAAACTCATGCAACAGCTCGATACACGTGCATCACCATGAAGCATCCGTTTTAGCCAGCAGTTTGCATAGCTCCGCACGACGCTAGGCTCTGTCGGAAATTGAAAATTCCAGTAGATAGCTCTCGGACTCTCAGTACAGCACCTCCCCTAGCACGGAGGTCAAAGCGAAAACAAGTGCAAAAGGCGAGCCGTCACTTCGTGATTGCCCTTGGACTCGAGTGATGCATCAGCCTGCTTCCTCACCGGTTTCACCGGCCTAGGCAGCCTAAGTCCCCCTGTCGGCATTCTCGGGGCTTTATGACTCTCACTATCATATGTGTGCAATCGTGTGCAAGTGTCAAGTTTCAGGGGTGATTTCTGGCGGCAGGGCCGGACCGATGCCTCCGCAACTTAGCTACTTCGGCTCTCGTCCCCTCACGCAGTTGGCAGCACCGACACGGCCTGCTGGAGATTGCTGAGGGTTTCGTCGAAGGTGGCAGGAACAGGAGAATCGTTGATGTGTGTCACGCGCCAGCCGATCTTCACCTCCTTCTTCTCAGCGAGCATGCCGGGCTTCAAGCGCTTGGCAGTAAGTGGCAAACTTCGGCTGAAGTCGATGCCTAGAGGCTTGTTCTCGAACTCAACATCTTGTGTTCCACCATCTGGCAGCACAAAGCGCAGCACAACCCGCTTTTTGAAAGGCTCGACTGCCTCTTCTGTTGCTGGACCTTTGTCGGACTTCTCAGGTTCTTCCTCAGGCGAGCGCAGCCCAGGGCTGGGTGGCGGAGCAGTGCCGGTGGCCACGGCAACCTCTGGCTTCTCCGAAGATGTGCTCGATGCGCAGCAGGTCCCTGCATTTCCCATGGCTCACGCAGCGACGAGGGGAGTGTTGTCGCAGAGGTTTGCTGAACAATCACGGCTGCAGCTGGTGTACATTCAACTAGGTCTTTTTGTCACAGAGCTCCATCGAACAAAGCCTCAAGAAGACTCAGGATGGCTTCTCAACGTAATCCTGTATCATCAAATGCAGTGCTAGCCACACAAACACCCAACGCATCTAAGACAGTAAACAGTGGCGACGGCTGGAAAGCTTTTCCTGTGTGTCACACGTCGTCAACTACTGGTCGCTGTACAAGACCAAAGCTGCCAACCGTGCTTGGAACAAACTCGGAACGCATAGCCGCCTCATGTCTTGCGCCTCTTAGCAAATACGGCTTCAGGGGGAGTGTAGAGAGAGAGCGAGGTAGAGAAACAAGCAGTGGGAGTGAGGGAGAGGGCGAGAGTGCGAGTGCGACTGAATGCAAGAATCAGTTTCATGGGAGGGTATGCAGGGCAAGAGTGAGGGACAGGGATCGACCGAACGAATAACTGAAAAGAACGGGGCGGGAAATCACAAGATGAAACTGACAAAGGAACAGGGCGGAGGCTGCACCAGAGAACCCTGGATGAGATAAGGCAATCAAATCCAGGCCTTTTGTACCAGTCTTTGATGTTCTTCATCGCCTGCACTATTGAGGTGGCAATCAGTTAGCAGCACATACGTGCATACATACATGCATGCATACACAAACACATTCTCATGGACGTGTGGTATAATGAAAAACATCACGGGCCTCCTACCAGGCCTTCCGACTCCCAATCTTGAAGCCCAGTTTCCGCACCTTTGTGCCGTCTGCGATCTGAGCTTGAGGAGGACCGCGCACACCGCCGTGCCCTGCAGGATTACAGCGTGGTCTCATGTTGGACCCGAGCACCGCGCACATGCCATCATGCTCAGCAGACATGCGCCCTTCTCTCAGCCTGCGCTTGGACTCTGGCCGCGCGCGCCTTGCCTTGGCAGAGAGCGAAGTCCTTTATCCCGCGATGACACTTTGCTGGACCAAACTATTTACGGCAAATGTCGCGGCGAAACAGTGCAAAGAAAAACACTGGACGTGATTCTTCACTCGACCGTGGTACAAGTAGTGTAGCTGCACGGCCTCTGCATGCAAGCAGCTGGGACTCACGCAGATCGCGATGGTGAGAAAAGGCGCTGCCCCTCCTGTAGCAAGAATCCGCAGGATGCAGCTTTGACATCTCGAAAGCATGGCTTATCGCGGGCCTGGCTACATGGGGCTCTAATGGAGTTTCAGCACTCCTAGAAGCTACGAGTATGTATACATGCTGCCTGAATCTCAGCGGCTTGTTGTTACATGGAGTCTCGTTGCACGGCCGGCCTGGAGCCGCACGAACTGCACAGCCTCGCCTTTCAGAAAA